CCTCGAACCCTCAGCCACTTACAGCTGTCCATCAGATTGAGTCATTCTGGAATCACCCTTACTCTGCATGCTTTGCTTGTTCCAAGTAAACTTTCATACAACAAACTGGCCCCTTGTGAAGGGAGGGGGTGATGTGGCAGGAAAAGAGCTTTTGCGCTTTTCATTTGACAAAAACATTTCAAAATGTATTTGTCAATCTTTAATACTTGAACGTCTATTTTACAGATTTCCAAACATCTTGAGTACTTGTTGCAAATAAAACACCAAGGATCTAGTAATTCAATTAAAAAATGTTTCCTCCAGTCAATTGCCTTGCTGTGGTTGAAATGTCCAATATTCAGAAAATCATTAGCACAAGCACAAGCCCATACCAGCAGCACAAACAGTCTTTGTTTGTAATGTTTGAATTTAAATGGTACAGAATATAGTTGGGGGATATGCAGATCAGAGCCCTGTGATTCCCCACACAGAAGAACTCAACAGGACTCCTGCAGGACTCACTGTGCTGAGCTCCAGTGAGTATTTGATCTCCTCCACCTTCCCCAGTCTTTCCTGGATCATCTGTTGTACTTCTGCCTTGGTCTTCAGCACCTGAGCCTGTAACACAACACAGTCACCTCCACTCCTCCTGCCATCACTCTCATGCTGACTGAGTGCTGACAAACTGTGAGCGAGGTGAGGGACAGCCTGTGAAAGAATGCTGCATGCGATGTTTGAATGTTGTGCACGTAACATGTTTTTACCCGTTTCAAATTAAAATAGCGTTTTACCCGTTTAAAATGAGCCCTGAGTGGGGTCACACATTTGACTTCAATGACAGGGCTAGAAAGAGCTGGCCAGGGTCTTCTCAAATTCCCAGCAAAATGACAACTCCTGCCACTCCTGCATGCTTACAGTGCCCTCAGTCAGGCTACAGCTCCATTCAGAGTTTGGACAAATTTTTCTAATGGAAAAATACTTTATTCAGCAAACAAACATGTATATCTTAAAGATTCATTCACCAACCAACGCTGCTAAATTAAGAAAATAAAAATGTTTATTCCAGACCTGGCCTGTATAATCTTTCAAACAAAGGTCTTAAGACATCCTACCTTTCTGTCTCTGCATTCCTCCTCTAAAGTCACAGTGCTGTGCGTCCTGTGGTCTGTCTCAGTGCAGAACTGACAAACACAGGTCTGGTCCGTCCTGCAGAACAGCTCCAGGAGTTTCTCATGTTTCTGACACAGCTTGTCCTCAAGTTTGTCCACGGGGTCAATCAGCCTGTGTCTCTTGAAAGCAGCTGCTTGATAGTGAGGCTGGATGTGAGTCTCGCAGTAAGAGGCCAGACAGACCAGGCAGGATTTGACTGCACCAAGCTTTCTCCCGGTGCATACATCACAGGGCACGTCCCCAGGCTTAGATGAGCACTCTTCGGGACTGCTTAATTTCCGCCTCTTGAACTGTTCTGTGATTTCGGCAAAGTTTCTGTCGATGTGCAGGTCAGGTCTCTTAGGGAATGTCTGCTTACACCTAGGGCACTCACACACATGTTTCATGTCCCAGTGCACTTCAATGCACACCTTGCAGAACTTGTGTGCACATGGAAGGGAGACTGGGTTGAGAAAATCTTCCTCGCATATTGAGCACTGAAGGTGCTCTTTACAAAGCACCATTTGGGATGAAGCCATTCCTGAGCACAGAGAAACAGTACAGGAGAGGATTACGCATAATCCAACACACTGGCACAGAGCTGGTCTGGAGGAACAGGGGCTTCAGACAGAGACCAAGCAGAAGGAGGTCACGATCTAAAACACTGCTGATAAGAGTCAATCAGCAATCATTCTGCTTCCCCTCAGTCACGAACCAAGACTGGAAGAAACAAATGTGATGTTGAGTATATAGTGACTCCAGCCATTTGTACATGTATAAAAACATGGGAAGACATTGTGCATTGGTCTTCAGAGTCTTGCTATAAAAGCAACAACTGTTACTTCGTTGTGAAGCCCCTTATATCCCCCAAACATCACACATGAAAGCCCTGTGAGAATGAACACCACCAATTATTTCATGAATTAACTAATAACTATCCACCTAATTACATGTGATAGGGGCCCCCTGGCTGGCCTCTACTTGCTGCCAGAACAGTCTCTCCATAGTGCAGCTACAGTATTTTAGACATTGGCTCTCTTCACTGTAACAGGGAAATGCAAAAAAGATACAACAAAGTAAAAATAAATACTATACAGGTTCACAATTCAGGAATATCACTCGTGTCCTGTAAGGGTAGGTCAGTTGCTTATGATGGAAGTAGTTTGTATTTTGTATGCTTTAGGGAATTTTATACAGTATATGTAGGACACATGAAATAAAGAGCTTGTATATCTGATGATGATTTGGGGTTTTGAAACTGCTCATTCATTTGTTAGTTCAGTATTAGCCCTTAGCAGATCTGAGAATTGGTACTTCATGTTCATGAGTCATAATGTAAATGTGTAATAGCGGGAAATATTGTACAGATAGTTGTAGACTTTCCCCAGAGGCTCACGCAGTTAAAGAGCTCTCTATCGTGCCTGGGTCATGGCTCTGGATGACAGTAACTGAGACTGGCCAGGTGGTGGCGCTCTATGGGCTCAAGGTGGGATTAGTCAGCCAGTGAGGCAGTGACCCCTGAGGACTCTGGGACTCCCGCAGGTGGGCTGTGCTGTGAGGAGGGACGCGCTCAGCCTCAGGTACGAGGCTGTGGTCACTGTGGTGTATTGAAAGATGGACCCGTTCCTACACTTCCTCCCTTTCCTCTGTGTGCTTCTGCAAGGCCTGTAGCCATGAGAGCAGACAGAAAGAGCACGCAGCAGGCCACGCCCAGGTGTGCAGGTAACGCCAAAACAAGTCAGAAATCTGCTTCTGAAACACAGGGCGTGTAAAACTAAAAGCACAGGAACATGAGCAAACATTCGACTTCTGAACCACTATTTTAAAGGAAAATAATATTCCCACACATTTACCAAGGTGAGAAGACACGCCTGAGGCACAGAGACATACCTGCACTGACAATCCCAGGAAGTATGAATCAGCTCCTTAGGATCCCAGAGTACAGGAAATCCCAACTCGTTTTACTGGAAGCCTTGCTCTTTAATGGGACAGAAGAAAGGTTCAGTACAGAATGTGCTAGTCCATATCTACCGCAAAATTTTGACTCTTATACAACATAACGTACTCCCATTTTTCCAAAACGTTATATTCCTCCAAAATAAAAGCTAAGAACAACCCTTGAGTTCCTAAGGATGTTTTTTAGTCCTAACCCTGTCTGTGACCTGTTTTTCTCCCCCAGAAGGATACTCTGTCTCCTATTCCGAATGCCTTCACACACTGTTGAGAGAGCCGTGGGGCCGTGGATGCCTTACCTGCCCGAGTTCCTTATTTCACACTGCTCTTTCAGCCGCAGACCCAGCACACACAGCTCGGTATTCACACCCACGTGGCCAGGGGGTCCTCAGCAGAGCTGCGCTTGAGTATGGGCACGAGCACGAAGGAGGAAAGGCCCAGCAGCTCTTACCAATGCCAGGGCACGGCTCCCCAGATAAGTTGCGTTTCTGCACAGTGAGGTAGCTGGGCTGTTCCTTTTCCAGACGGCTCCTCCTCTTCCTCATTCATGGATGAACTGTTAACTCTTTGCACTCTCAGGGCTCACTGATTCTACCGCACAGCTGGGGACAACCCACAGAGAGGAGAGGCAGAGCGGAGAACCAAGATCTTCTGACATCCACGCCTTCTGGGCATCTTAATCCCCTGGACAACTTTAACAACTTCGCTGAGCCTCAACATGGCTCCACAGCTAGAGTACATTTCAAACAGACAAACATAAAAGGACTCTAACTTTAAAACTGTCATGCAAATCGCAGTTAAAATTCATTGGAAGTAAAAGCTGGAATGAGGCACGACTAGAGCTTGACCCCTCTTTCAGAAGAACTGATGATCTGTAGATTCAGTGGTTGTTCCTAGATGTGAAGTGCGTTTTACATTCAGAATTAGAGTTCAGAGTTCAGTCTTCTGTCATATGCACAAGTGCAATGAAATGCTTATTTGCGTGTGTGCTCCAATACGCCAAAAACACAGAACAGAGGCAACAACAACAAGTTAAAAAACATACATCTTAGAGAAAAAAGAATACATTATTAATTAACTTATTTGATCAATTCTTTTTTCTTTTCCAAGGTGACATACAATTAAAATTATTTGCACGCAGAATATCTGCACATGATATGTGAATGTCACCAACAGCTAATTTATTAGAACAAGCAAATGTGGCAATCCAATCATTTCTCATACTTTGAGGAGGTGAAAATAAGGTACAGAAATGATAAAAAACTGAGACTGGAAGGTTACAGTAGCTGAGGGAAGGGTATTAGGCGGCGTGGTACAGAAATGGACCCCACAGGCCAGACGAGGGGCAGTTCTGGTTCCACCCTGGACAAGGCAAGAAAGAGCAGAAGTACTGTACTCGGCGCAGCTGGAAGAGAAGCAGCAACAGCAGCAGACCAGCGGGAGACTCGCTGAGAGGAGGGGAAGGGGGGAAGGAAGAAACTGGGACAGGAGGAGCGGTAGGTGACATAGCAGACCTTCAGTACCTTTATATCCTCTCCTAAAGAGAGAAAATAAAAAAAACTATTCTCCTATTTCAGGACGATAGTTACAGAGCAAACAAGTACAGTATTCCCCAGAAAGCTCATCGCTGACAGTCCACCTGCCGACGGAGGTATTGATTAGGGTCAGCGATCGCCGCAGGTCTGTTCATCATCTCTCAGACAAAGCCCAGCTTCAATTGTACAGAGAGTAGTTTGATCTCTTCTCTTTTGGGATCACAAGTTGAAGTAAGTGATAGAGGAAGAGGAATGTTTTTATCAAAATAAGCTTTATTTCAAAGCAACCACAACTCACAATTAGTACACGTTCTAAGAAAATATCAAACTGTCATCAAATAAAAACTTTCCGAAAGAGATGATTGTCCATTATCGAGTGGATGATGGGCCTGGATTTGCTCAATGAAAGAGTCCCTCCCCACCCAACCACTATGGCAATGTTGGTTAAGTTAATAATATTCTCTTTGAGTTTCATAAACATGAATGTCATAACAGTGACATAGTGACACATACACACACATAAAGACACTGCAATACAGAGAGAGATAAGACACACTGACACAGGTTGGTAACGGTGACACAGAGAGTCACAGAGACACTAACAAAGAGACAGAAAGACACAGGGACACAGACAGAGACATGGTGACAAAGACATTTGGGGACACAGAGATATGATCTCACATACACAGAGACACTGAGATACAGAGAGAGACACTAACAGAGAGACAGAAAGATATAGTGACACTGACAGAGACACAGTGACAAAGACATTTGGGGACACAGAGATGTGATCTCACACACACAGAGACACTGCGATACAGAGAGAGACACTAAGAGAGACTGAAAAATAGTGACACTGACAGATACACAGTGACAAAGGCATTTAGGGACACAGAGATATGATCTCACACACAGTGACAAAGGGTCACAGAGACATAGTGACACATACAGAGATACACTGACACAGTGACACTGATAGGGACACCAGGGATACAGGGACACAGAGAGACAGAGTGATACAGGCAGAGACACAGTGACAGACAGGCATAAGGTGGAAGCGAGGAGAGAGATCGGAGTTAATTGGAACGGTAAGGAGCTGGAGTGAGAATTAAAGAGACTGTAGAGTGTAAAAACCAAGGGAAGAAATCTGGAGCTTTAGAATATTGTGGCCTACATGACGAGAACAAATGTGTGAATTGCAAATTTTTGTTCGGGCGTCAGAACAAAGAAATAAGCAATAACCTCGGACAAATGGGGACACCTACAGTTAGTAAAACCTCCACACAGACACCAGAAAACAACAAGTTAATAACATTGATACTGAGGCAGAGAGCTGGGAGTGAATCAGCCTGTGTTCATGTTTAATCTCCACAGCTGAGAGGAGGCACCAGCACAAGGTCTTTAGATCGATCCCTGGTACCGAAGACAGGATAGATCTTCTCCCCCTGATTGAGGACCATGTCAGTGAACGTGAAGATGTGAGTCCTGGACTCCACTGTGTAAAAGGAGACCTTCCTCTCCTCAATATCCACACACACCCCCACTGTCCTGGGCTGCAGACTGAGGGGGAGACGGGTCACAGGGTCAGTGAGAGCAGAGAAACCAGAAAAGCCGGAATACAGAGCCCAGTATCCCCCTTGGGGATCAAAGCTGAACCCCCCTTTCCTCTCAGCAGACTCTCTGCTCACTCCTATTCTCCACCTTTCATTCACCTCCACCTCCCAGTAGTGTCTCCCTGAGCAGAAGCTCTCCCTGCTCGTGACATAGGGCCAGGAATCAAATCTGTGTGGATTGTGAGGGAGACTCTTCCTCTGTCCCAATCTCACCCTCTTCCCATCCTCAGACAGGGAGAGAGAACAATGCGCTGTATCAGGGTCCAGAGTCACGTCCGCTGTGGGAATAAAACAGGAAACATCAGAAGAGTCTCTTAAAAATTATATGAAAATTAAAATCAAATTGTACCTGTGAAATACATCTCTCCCTCCCCCCTACCAGAAACAAAATAAGTTAATTATTAATTACTGAAATTAAATTATGATAATTGATAATAAATATAACTTCTGAATAAAAATCTACAATATAAGCAATTTAGCAACAAGGTATTTAAAATAAACATCTAAAATAACGTTTATATTATTTACAGATTCTGTATATAAGAACAAGCTGTATGTACATGTATACACTGGTTAATGAGCACATTCTGTTTGTTAAGTATATAAAGTATATGCAAAGTGTATAAATACTATATTCTATAGATGCTGTGTAAAGACTGTACAGGTCTCAACAGCTGAAACATTGCCCTTCTAACCCTTCCCACTACCTGTCTGCATCTTTCTACTTTTCAACAAGGAATTAACCTTTCTTGTTTTTACATTGGAAGTTTATGCAGTGGAGATACAGTACATACAGTCTCTGTATCCTGTACCACTGATTCTGATTAGCCTATCTTCAAAGGACCTGTGACCTCAGTGCTGTCCATCAATGTGGTCAAGAATTGAAAAAAGGTATTTTTCTCTTGGACTTCACAAGCTTCAGTTTGGAATAAGAACACCATTTTGTTCATTGTGTATCAATTTTAGACTTGCAGGTTTAAACATGTGTAAAAGACACCCAACGTCATTTCTGGACTAAGAGCTCCTGTTGTACAGTGATGAGTAAGGGAGCCCTCTGCTGGGCAGGATGGAAACTGCAGTCTGGCCCTGAAGCTGACAAGGAAATATCTTCCACCCATATTTCACACTGATTCTGTGTAGAACAGGACCCTGTGTCAATCACTGACTAATTCCACAAGAGAGTCCATCTGTGAGGAGAATCAGACACTGTTTATATCACTCCTGTCCTGAGATAAGGATCCCAATATCACAAGTAAATACCCAACCCCACTCTCCCCCTGCTGAAAAGTGTGATAATATTGACACTCCAGTGTCACTTACTGACCAGCATTAGTGTGAACACTTTACAGATATTCCTATAAAACACTTTAAAGCTTATTAATATAATAAGCCTTGTGTAACAGACTGATGAGCCTGTTAAGAGGCAAATCAGATCTGAAGTTAGAGCAGAAATTAAAAAGGCAAAATTAAAGTATAAGGAATATATCAAAAGCAAACTCAATTGTAATTTGAGACCTGAATGGAGTGGAATAACAACTATGGTGGGGCTGTAGGACAAAGGTAATCTCCCTTAATTCACAGTGAATATTGATAGCTTTAATACCAACAAAGAGCTGGCTGATGAACCAAATCACTTTACCTTAGATTTGAAAAGCACAACTTCAGTGGAGAAATCGGGGAACTTAAAGAGAAGCTCACTGCTTCCAGAAAGATTGAACTGGATACACAGTGCGTTTCAAGCATTTTCAAGAAAACAAAAGTCAGGGAAGGACTTGGAGCTGAGAACATCAGGGGCAGGTACTGAGGTCATGAGCTGAGCAGCTCAGTACTATATTTCATTAGATTTTTTTACATATCTCTGCATCAGCAGAAAGTACCCAGGATTTGGAAACAGGCAACAATCATACCTGTTGCAAAACACAAACCCCCCAAGACATTAAACGATTTCAGACCAGCTATGAAGTCATTTGAGAAAATTGTTAAAATTCATGTATTCCACCAGACAGAGCACCAACTGGAGCCCATGCAGTTTGCCTACAGGACTGAAAGGGGAGTCAAAGAGTCTGCCCTCACATCACTGAATCTCTTACATTCACATCTAGAAGGTCTCAAGACACACAGCAGCCTTTTATTAATAGATTTCTCATCAGCCTTTAACACCATTCAACCACACTTGGTCGTGGAGCGATTACGCTCAAATTCTAATCTACACTTTACTATTGTCGGTTGAATCGTAGGTGTTTTGACCAACAGATCACAAAGAGTCACAGAGTGAGGGTGGACAGTCTTTTATCAGAGCAGCTTTGTTCTTCCACTGGGCTGTGTGCTGTCCCCCGCCCTATACTGTACATTCTGTACACAGACAGCTGTAGAAGCCCTTTACACTTCATGAAGTTCCGAGTTAAATTACTGCACAGCACGTTAGCTGATGACTCTGTCACTGTCAGTCTCCTACAAGACAGACACTGATCATGGGCCTGTAGGGGATTATTTTGCTGAATGGTGTAAGAACTCCTTCCTTCAGCTGAATGTGTCAAAAAACCAAAGACATGGTCATTGATTATAGAAAACGACCACCAGCTGCTAATCCCACAGTCTTTGAGGAGCAAGAAATTGAAACTGTCAACAGTTACAAATATATTAGCACAATTGTTGATTACAAGCTTTATTTGAGGAAAACATGGATGTCATATGTAAGAAGATTGTTACATATGAACAACAGCGATCATTCTTCTTCTGCTCTTTTACCACAGTATGTGTACTACAACCCTGAGCCCACAATAGAAACAGACTGAGCAGGATTGTGAAGGCAGCCAGCAAAGTCATCAGAGCTCCAGCTGCAGCTGTCAGACAGACAGTATGATCACAGACAGTATAATCAATCACAGACAGTTTGATCACAGACAGTATAATCAATCACAGACAGTATGATCACAGACTCTCATGACCACCCCTTACACTGTGAACCTGAGCTCCTTCTGTCTGGGTGTCGATTAAGACCCAGATTCAAGTGCAATGGAGCTACGTTATGCTTTATTCCCATGGCTATAAACCTGCTTAATCTGAACAATTGTATATTTCACCTTTTTATATATTTTTTCTTTTTATTTAATTTTTTTCTCGTCAACATGTATGTCTCTTATTTGTCAATGGATTAATTTTGTGTTAAATCTGTTGTGTTAAATGTGTTGTGTTATGTCTTTAACTGCCTGCAAAGACAATTTCCCATCTGGGACAATAAAAGGAAGTAAGTAACTTACGTTATTGTATATACATGTATCACTTATTTTACAACCACAAATATGAATTCCTTTAGAATAAAGCATAAATAACATTTTTTACCATTGCTGTATGCCTACATACCCTTGGATGGCACTGTAGAAGGTAATTACTTTTTTGGAGGAAAAAAGGAAAAAATAATTTTCCAAAAACCTGCATTGTATTATTTGTATTATTGTTGGGTTTTTTTTCTTTAAAAAAGGATCACTGCCACACTCCTTTAATGATCAAGCTAGAAATCTGGTCTGCTTGCATATAGTATATATTTTATTCTCCTTTTAAGGGTTGAAAATATAAAATGTGGCTGAGTGTGCACTGTTAAAAACAATTACTGTAGCTGGTCGGAAGACATGTAGCACAGCCACCCCTATAAAGGATTTTACAGAATACTAACCTGTGATACAGACACTGCTGTTTATGTTGTGTTTTATTTTTGTTCTTAAAAAGAGACAGACTTACCTGCAGCACTGCACAGCCATTTATATACTGGAATAAAGAGATACAGACACTGTTATTCACAGGCACACACTGAACACAGAGATACAGACACTATTAATCACAGACACACACTGAACACAGAGATACAGACACTGTTAATCACAGACACACTGAACACAGAGATACAGACACTATTAATCACAGACACACACTGAACACAGAGATACAGACACTGTTAATCACAGACACACACTGGAACACAGAGATACAGACACTGTTA